CTTGCCAGCGCGAGCAAAATGAAAACTGGACATTCGATGAGAGTTAACGTCGCGTCTACTAGGATCCGGTTGGCGCGCACGCACACACGCACACACAGGCACAGAGAGAGAGAGAGAGAGAGAGAGAGAGAGAGAGAGAGAGAGAGAGAGAGAGAGAGAGAGAGAGAGAGAGAGAGAGAGAGAGAGAGAGTTGATTCCTCGAGGATTCGACGCACGCGAGAAGCACTTAAGCGCAGTTAACGTACGTATCGTGATAGTACGCGTTAATACTTGAGCGTGCACGTGATTAATCCTACGGACGCGCTCCCGTTCCGCGAGAAAGGCGCCGCGCCGGCGAGGGGAGAGCCTAGAGAGAGAGAGAGAGAGAGGGAGGGGACTATTAGGAGGAATCGCGCGACTATTAGACTTTCCAGACGGCGCGTTCGGCGCCGTTTCCTGCGCCGTTAACGTCTACTTACGTTGAATTACGCGATCCGGAGAAACCGACACACAAACCCATCCGCGGTAAAACGCGCGTGCCGCGGCGGCCGGGCGAAAAACGGAGCGCGAGCGCGAGGACGACGATTCCGCACGACGGCGTCGACTCCTGCGAGACGAGGCGTCCCGGAGAGATTTCACGCCTGTGCAATTATTATCCGCGCGCCTACGCGACCGAAGTAATTCGGATCTCCCTCGATATCGCCCGGTGTGTATCTGAAATCGCGCGTGAGGATCCTTCCCTCCATCTCCTCCCGCGGACGACGTCTCGGTATCGCGGATCTCGCGCTCCGCTGCCTACGAGAGATCCGCGATTTAAAACGCGCTCTCTCGCGCCGCTCGGCCCGCTGATAAACTCGCGTGCCCGTTTCCAGCAATTAAGGATCGCGCTTTAACGAGCGCGCGCAATCGTGCTGATCGCAAAAAGCGGCTAACGCTCTCGAGCCACTCGAGAGATAAAAAGAGAGAGAGAGAGAGAGAGAGAAGCGAAGCCGGGCGCGCAATCTGCAATATTTATTACCGCGTTGCGAGCTCGGTTTAAACGACAGCATCGATCATATCGCGTCGCGCTGCAACGAGGCGCGCGTCTCATTATCACACGAGGACGCAGCCTAAGGATGCGCGCGTATCCTTCTTCGAGGCTCGCATCTGATCCGTCCCCCTGCGGAGTCTGCGGGGAAAACGGAAATCGGTCAGAGAGAGAGAGAGAGAGAGAGAGAGAGGAAGCGAGAGAATTACTTAAATTTAGATTTCTTTCAGATCGCGTCATTTGCTCGCGATTTTCATCAATTCGTCCTCGAAGAGTTACAGAAGGTAGATGGAGCAAACTCTCGAGATACGTGTGTGTCTCCCATCTCGTCCTGTCGGCAACGTACAACCGATCTCGCAGGCGCAATTAATTAATTATACACGATACGCGACTTAATGAGACACGGTAGTATCGCAGTGACGGTCACCGGTGAGCGTCGCCGCGTACGACATGCCGACTATCGTGGGAATCACCCCGGCACCTGACTCTTTTCCAGAAGCCCCATCCGGGTCACTCTGATGAGCCCTCGACTGAGTCATCACGCATGATGACACAACTGAATTTAATTATATCGCGCAATGTGTCATCGCCATATTCCATATTTTCGGCGATAAGTTCAGCCCAATTGTCCACGAACGCGTGGATCAGCTTCTTCTCGTAGAAAATCTCGCGCCGAGAAATCGCCGTGACGACAGCCGTGTTCCTGGCGAGCATCGGAACGCACAAGCGGCTCGGCGAAGGCGTACTTGCCGAAAAGGGCGAAAAGGTCCCGGGGGCTCCGAAATGATTGCCAGGGCCCACTCGAGCGCAGTCGGTGGGAACGCCGGTCTTTCCTTCCAGGAAGGTAATTTCAAGTTAGGAAGGTAGGTGGTCACGCGATTGCGTCTTACACGTGCAGAGGAGCGAGCCGAGAGCGAGAGGGGGGAGAGAGGAGGGGAGAACGGACGGCGCGGCGGTCGAAAGCGCGGGTTCAAAGAGCGAGAAGCACCGATCGGCCGAACCTCCGCGCAACATGGACTTAAAGACTACCTGCCCAAGGGAGCAACGTCGCCGGGACGCGGGATTTCGAGGTTTCTCCGTCGCTCTCGGCCGACGCGAGAGTCGAAAAATTCGCTCATCGTGGCTTCCTCGGCGATCGCGCGGCGACGGCAGCGGCGACGGCGGCGGCGGTCGAGGTCGAGAAAAGAGAGGCGAGGGTGTCTCGCCGCGTCGTATCGCTCGCTTCCATAAGAGGCTGTTTATCAACGACCGCTTTTAGAAGAGGTGACTCACGTCTCGCGCAGATACGTCCCTACCGAACCTGTCCACCGCCGCCGCCGCCGCCGCCGCCGTCGCCGCAGCGTATAAACCGCAGGGAGCCACTGGGTCGTCTTTTATCTCTCGTTTCCGACGAACCGGGGTTTCCTCGTCGTTTTGCTCGCGCAAACGAGCCTTAGACGGGTTTTTAGCCGGCGTGACTCACGTCCTTCTTCTTATTCTTCTCCTCCTTCCCTCGCGCTTCACTCCGCGCTACGATGATACGCGCTCCGCTCCGATGCGCCTCCAACGAGATTCGGCCGGCACCGTGAAAAAGCTCAAGCGGACTGACCGCGCGAGAACGTGTGTTTAACCCTCCCTCCCGCGGGCGAAGCCGGCCTTTCCCAGGCGGCGGCGGCGGCGGCGGCGGCGGAGATGATGTCGCGCCGGGCGACATGACGCTCTCTCGGCGCGCGAGAAACGCACGTCGGGACTACAAGAGCGAGATTTACGGCTCTACTGTGAATTGTGCATCCCGATTGTACGACGTAGTCGCGGCAAGTCGGAAGTCGTCGTACGAGAGCACGACTTTGAAAGGAGAGACACGGACTGTTGCGTCCGGCTGCGATAAAGTCCTTTCTCGCCAGGTCGATGGAAGAGGATTAGCGGAGCTGGGAGAGCGCGAGAATTTCAGCCGCGCGCGAGTCTTCGACACGATGGATGCGCTATCGCGCTCGCGTTTATTTGTCGCGACGCGAGGACGCCGACCTCGCTCGTTGGACGACGTGGATAATCTTCGACTAGGGGCGATACTACTTGGCGCGAAGCTCCTCTGCGTGAATATGCATGCGGACGACGTGTTGTAATGGAAGCGATACAAGCGCGAATGTGTATGTGACGCGTGCGCGCATGCGCATGTGTGTGTGTGTGTGTACGCGCGCGCGTAGCTCCATCAGATTTATTTCTCCGCGAAGAGCGATTACGTCGAATCGTCGCTAATGGACTTATCGCTGCGCGGAATTTCGCCGGTGACACGACGCGACGACCACGTACGTGAGTCACTTGAGGAATCCGTTTTTCTAGGAATGGGAAGCGATGCACCGACAAACGAGCGAGTAAATCTCGAGCAAAACATACGGAGACGACGCACGGCAAAATACCAGCAAAACGGCGATGAAATATGTCAGTCGCTCGTGCAACAAACAATAGCCGCCAAACGAAAACTCTGGCTGACAAGAGACAGAAAAGATATATCTGTTATCGCGATCGGAAACGTTTGTTCAAACACTCGGCTGCATTAAAACTGAATTGAGATAACTGAGAACAATTGATTGAATATAAGCCTCCTACGGGGAATCTTTCTGTCCTCACAAACGAGTTTTTTCGTCCGGTCCCCAGACATGAGAGAATCAGTTACGCGAACAAAGTTTTTTTCCCTGTAGATGGAAACTTTGTTCCGAAGCTGACGCTACCTCTCTGCTACGCCGGTGCTAATCCGAATAACTCGAGCGCGATAACTCGAGAAAACGGCGGAGTCTCGGAGCAGCTAATCTGTGATTCAGTATGTGTAACAATTCCACGCGTGAAAAAAAACCGTTCTGTTAGTGTAACTAGATTTTGCGTTGCCCGTCAAGTATAGACTCCCAGTGGAGGACTCGGTCCTGCAGAAGCGCAAGAGTCCTGCAACGAGTCTCCGATCAATCGATTGCTTTCCGAGTTTTAACGCGACTGGATATTCAAACAAATTTTTTTCGCTCGGTCGGAGGTATTATTTCTCGTCGAATTTTCCTACAATTCCTATCTAGTTACATAAATCGAGACTCCGCGTTTTTCCCTGCCAGTGGAAAGAGAAATAATGCGATTCTTATTCTCGGTAAATTTCGGTAAGAGCAAATCGTCCTTAATCGTCGGTAATCGTTAGAAAGTCATTTCTCTTATTGCGCATCATTGCGTTCCGAGGTTCATCGAGAGGTAAAAGTGTCTCCCGCGACCGCGAGTCAGTCGCGACTGAGTGTAAGAGTGTTCCTCTAAATCCAGCAAGTGGTCGGTCGTTGTATTTGCCGTTTGTACGGCCGTAGAAAAACCGGTACCGGCATTAGCGCTTCCAAACACGAGAAGGGGGTGTGCGCAAGCAGCGAGGCGCATCACGAAGGTCGAGGAGCAATATTCGGCGGTGTATGCGCCTCTCTCTCTCTCTCTCTCTCTCTCTCTCTCTCTCTCTCTCTTTCCCCCTATCTCCCTATCTCCGTTCCTCTCTCCTCTCGCGTGCACGGAGGATACCGTGGGAACGGGCCCCGGCATAACAGGTAGTAAGACAGTCGCGTCTTCCAGCGTGCGCCCTCGACGCGATTCGAGTGCGTCGACCGACAACAATGACGACTTTCGTTGAATTTTTACGCATGTTGCTTCGCGACGGCGGCGGCTCTCTTCGAGCCCCGAGGATCCCGCGATCGCTGGACGCTGTCGCGCGAAAAAGAAACCTCAAGACGACCAGTCAAAGTCGACAAATGCACGAGTGAGCGGCAGGAGACGCCGCGCTCGCACAATGCTGTAATTAGCGCTTTTCACAAGCGACGAGATCATACGGAGACAAAGACGCGCGAACGATATCTCGCAAGCGGCGAGCGATATCGAGCGACAACGTCGTCGAACAGAGCAGATGTCAAAAGTCCCCGAGACTCCCCGTGTTTCGCGACCTAACCTCCCCCCCACCCCGCGGAGACAACGAAAGTTCCGCACCCGCGAGGAGATCCGTTACCTTACGTCACTGCGCGCGACTCGCTCCTTTCTTCCGTTCCCCGCCGCTGTCTCACTCTGCGTCGTCCACGTTCGCTCGCGCCGTTACGCCATTAGGGCTCGCTCGTTTTCTCTCTCTCTCTCTCTCTCTCTCTCTCTCTTTCTCTCTCTCTCTCTCTCTCGTGACTCCTGCCAGCTGAATGCGAAATGACAATTGACCTCGTGCGTCCTGACGTGGCTACGCGCGCGCGCGCGCACGCCCGCGCTCTCTCGTATATGCACTACGATGCACCACAAACTGCACGAGCGAGCCGCGAGACGTCGTCCCCTAACCTCAACCTCGGCCGTCTCCTGGGTCGCTCTCACGGGAGGACGCGTGTTTTTCCCCAGCTAGACTCGCCTGCTGCTCGCCTGCTGCTGCTGCTGCTCTCTCTCTCTCTCTCTCTCTCTCTCTCTCCTCTCTCTCTCTCTCTCTCTCTCTCTCTCTCTCTCTTTCGTGCCTCTGTCGTAGTACCCTCCTCTCTCGCGGTTCTTCCACTCTCTCGGGAGTGGCCGTGCGCGCGGCCTTTCGTACGAGAGCGACGCGCCGTCGAGTAGAGGAGCGCGTTTTACGTTTTACTCGCGGCTATAGTATAACACAGCGTGTACACACCAACCATCCGGCCGTCCGTCCGTCCGTTCGTCCGTTCAGTCAATCGTTCGCTCTCACGGCGCGCGCGCGGTGCCGCGACTGAGACGCCGCGTGCGGCGTGCTCGGTTTTACGCGGCCGCCGGGCCGCGGCTGTCCTTTTTCCACTCGCTCTCTCGCTCGCTCGCTCGCTCGCTCGCTCGCTCGCTCACTCGCTCGCGCCGCGTGCGTGCCCTGCCCGCTGGACTAACTCCGCGAGCGAAACCGTGCAGGCAAGCAGGCAAGCAGAGGCCCACGCGAGAGAGCAGGCGGACGCTCTCGCCCGTCGTCTCTCCGGTCTCGACGGAGCAACCGGTAACGAGCGCTGTTACTGACCATGTACATACAGGATCGGCCGGAGACTCGTAGAATACCCGCCGCTTTCCGGTTTAGGCGTTTTCGAACCGAATCCGAGGACGCGCGCGCGCGCGCGTCTCGACCGGCGGGAACGGCCTCGACGCGCGCTGTAATTGGGTTATTGGTATTTTGTAACGGTGCAAACTCGTTTCGGCACGTCGCGTCGACGCGACGCGACGCGACGCGACGGCCGGGCCGTCACAGCAACGGTTTACTATTTCGACGACTTATTTCCGTTCCGTTGAATAATTGATAAGCGATAAATCGCGAAGTCGCGCCGCGATGTGATACGCTGCGGCTAGCAAATTCGAGTAACCCGAATTACATCGCTAATTCGCTGTTTGTGCATTTCGTTCGGCCTGCGGAAATACTCGTGGTCGCTTCGTGTATTCTCTTATCGAAGCATTCCTTTGGAATGTTTGGACAGCGGCTCTCAAGATTTCGGTATCGCGAGGCATTCGCAAGATCGTCGCCGGCGACAAAAATTCGTTCGTGCGCGATAAGTCGCGTCACGGCGGCGCTATGTTGATGAGCGCGCGTATCTCGCGCGTTATCTCATTAGTTGCCGAGAGATACGCGAGAGATAATTTATCGCTCGCGCCACCTTCCCACGGATGACGTAACGCGATGCATGCAGAGAGAGAGAGAGAGAGAGAGAGAGAGAGAGAGAGAAGCAGCTTCGAAAAATCCGCGCGCGCGTTTCTGCAGCGGCGAGAGCAAAAACGACGTTATGCGGACACGATGCGGCTTCCGAGTCGGCGGCCGCGGCGCGGGAAACGGGGATTTTTCGGCACCGTCGCCGTCGCGACGGGCGAATTCCCACGTCGTGGATTCTTTTGTGTTCACGCGAACCAACAAAAAGCTGGGCGTGGTGCGCCAACAGCAGGCCGCAGCCCGCCGCTGCCAAGCCAGCCAGGTGCGCCGCGAACGAAGCTGCGACGTAGCGCCGTTGAATCGACACGGCCAGAACAGCGGCCGCTTGTCTGTCTGCGAAAGGACCGGTCCTCTCTCTCTCTCTCTCTCTCTCTCTCTCTCTCTCTCTCTCTCTCTCTCTCTCTCTCTCTCTCTTTCTCTCTCTCGTTCTCCTTCTCTCCCTCTTTTTAAAGGGGCATGCAAATTTCTAATAGACGCGACGCGGAAACCCGCTCCACCCCGGCCGCGTGGCTTCGCTCTCGCCGCCGCCGCCGCCGTTCCGTCGTCACATCGCCGACACATCCGCGCGTCGCAGCTCGACGAGCAGCAGCAGCACCACACCGCCATCAGCAGCGTCAGCCGAGCGGAGCGGACGTTTAATCCGTATCCTGGTGTCTTGTCGATCCGATCGAAATTCACTTGGCGTGATACTCGTTTATCGCGCGGGCGGATACGCGCGAGCCGCGCTCGTCCGAGTGTAGTAACGCGTGGGCGACCAAGTGCTGACGAAGCTGACGACGACGATGGTGGTGGTGGTGGTGGTTGCCGTAAATCGCTCACGCGACGCAGGCAAATAAGATTCTAGGCTATCGATCGCGCGCGTCGCGCTCAATTATAAATCCCCTGCGTTCCCTCGCGCGCGCGAAACAATCGATCGCGCCGATGCATTGCGTTTGTTGTTGTTGTTGTTGTTAGTCGCACGCCACCCTGCGTCAACGCGCTCCCGTGGCGCTGATCCTATCGTCATGCCACGAGTCGGCCGCCGAGAGAGTCACCAGTACGCGTTCCTCTATCGAACGTGCATTTTTATTAACAGCGTCCTGCTGCACCGAAATAACCGAACAATCGTGATCTCCTGGACGAGCGTGGTCTGGCCGACCCCCCGGATGCCGGCGCCCGAGTCTGCTCGCTTCCGGCCTGATCAATGATTTTTTAACGAGCGAGAACTGATTGTGGGCATTTTTGTTGTTTTCGCCTTTAAATTTCGATAGTAAACTTTCAATATATCAGACATATATACATATATTCCTCACATTAATACACGTATATTATGGAGATAAAAGGAAATTTTTTCTCCTTTCTTTTCTCTTATTTTTTTCTTTCTTTTCTTTTTTCCTTTCTTCCTTTTCCTTTTTTTCTTTTTTTTTACATTTTTCCTCATTTATTATATGAGAATCTTCTTACTTGTTATAATACTACTGCCCATCTACTGTACACCAAAGGGGTCAGACTTGTATATTATTAATAAATAAATAAATAAATAAATTATATAACATTTGTAGGTATTGTATATTGAAAAAATTGGAGAATGTACGCATTTAGAGACGAAAATAATAAAAACGCCCAGAGTTAAGCACGAGTTCCAATGCTTTGATCTGACAAATGAATCACAACTACTCATCGGACTGAATTCTCATTATCCGTCCAGGCGACGGCACACAAAGGTCCGTCAATCCTCCGTCAAAGTATTCCTCGAGGCTTTTGTATTGGAGCATTCACAGCGTTCTTCGCGTCTTAATCTTTCCTATTCAAGAGCGAAATGTGACGGAGGAGGATCGACGGACTTGATTCTATCTGCCGCCGTCTAGACGGATAGAGAAAATCCGGCCTTATCTGGATAGACCCAGATATCCCTTGAGTTTCGGCTGATTCAGGTAGCCGGGCGTTCGAGTGAGAATGCGATTATTTCGGAGGCGTTAGAGCAGTGGGCTTATTCCGTAACTTTCGACGACGGTGTCGTCGTTGTCGCTACACAGTTTCTCCGCTATACATCGCAACGAGACTGTCGTCGAAAGTTGCGGAATGACTCCACGACGGATGATCGATGCCTCCTAACGAATTTGTCCTGGTGAACGACGATATTCCAAAATTGCGGCGAGATAACAAGCAATGTGCAAAGACACGACTAGCCGAGTTATAATGACAACACCGGCTCCAATTCGCAAACGAGATTTCCTTTCGCAAGGAGTATCCTTCGGAATGGCGCGCGCCGCACGTGCCCTTTCGCGTATAAGGTGTCGCGGCCTTCGGTGATGCACTCTCGAATGCACCTGAGATCGCGAATCGCGACGGTAAATCAACTGGGAGACCTTCCCCAGCCGGGCGCGATCGATAAGAGCCTCTATGCCGCTCTAATTCTCGCCAGCGGGGCTCTTCCGAGGCTCTCGACGATGCCTGCTGCGTCTCGCCGCCCTCACGGAAACCAGCGGCCGCGCGCTTTGATGTCGAGAGAGAGAGAGAGAGAGAGAGAGAGAGAGAGAGGAGGGGGGGAGAGGAGAAGGAGAGAACCATCGCAGTCTCGATCCTGAAATCGTGCCTTAACTTCCTCTCTCATGAATGACGCTTTTATTTCGCTTTTACTTCAGTCTTACGAGCGGTGACGGTGCCAAGCGGCCTTGTTAATCGCGTTTCACCGCGAAACATACATTGTAACAAGAACTCAGTCGAAAGCAGTCAAATTGAGTCCAACTCGGCTTCAGAGAGAGAGGAAGGAAGAAGAAGAGAGAGAGAGAGAGAGAGAGAGAGAGAGAGAGAGAGAGAGATAGAGAGAGAGAGAGAGAGAGAGAGGGGCGCATGGCGGACCGACCGTCGTAATTATTCCGACCAAATTCATTCGTGTCCCCTTCGTTTCTCTTGTTTGCGCCGAACGAGCTGAAAATTTAGTCCAACGGGGCGGTCGTAATAAAGCTGACCCCGCGACACGTTACCCCCGATTGTATTTGTCGACCGATTTATCCAAATTTCCCAGCCAGAGGCAAGATTATATCGTCAGTATCACGCAATCGGGTAGATCTTTCGGTAGTCGAAGAAACGTCTACGTCACGCAACGCAGCGAGCTTTCAATTTCCTTAGCAGTTCACCGCGGGTGACGGGATTTTGCAGTCGAAATTCCGCCGCGTCGTCAGATCGCGGGCCAGCTTGCGCAGTTTTGCCTTGAGCCGAGGCAATTCGAGAAAATTCGCCTAACCCTGAGACTCACGCTTCGTCCTCGTTTCGCTTTTTTCCTCGCTCAGCGCGGAAAATCGCGGCGCGACGAACTTGCCGCGGCGTGTGACGTGACGTGGTGACCGTGATCGGGAGCGTGTCAGTGGGCGTTTAAGGCGAGCGGCTTGGCGCGAAATCGAAACGAGGTCGATTAACCACCCGGACGGGATAACAAGGCTAACGCGAAAACGTCGTTTAGCCGGAAATCCAGGGCGACTTATATTGCAGTCCGCGCGTCGACGATCAGTTTCTTTTTCGTGCCGATCGCCCGCCTCGCGCGAACGGACCGAGTCGCTGCGGGTATAGTTTTTACAAGCGCTCGTCGCGGTTTCTCGCGGTGAAACGGTTGCGAATAAGGGGGGATGAGCGCGGAAGGGGAAGAGTCGCGCTTTCTTGAAGGAACCGCGAACGCGGCCCGGATTTCGATTGAACTCGCTCTCGCACTCACACACAAACACTCGATATCCGCGCGAAAGCGACGCGTGGGAGTCGTCACGCTGCGCTCGTAATTCCACGCAATTGCTCGGATACTTCGCTCGCAATTCCGCCCGTTTAGCGACGCGCTCATTAGGCCCGCGACCACTTAACCCCGGTCGGCAATTCGACGGGGGTTAATTACGTCGTTCCTGGCTCCGTTCGCGCCGCCGTCGCCGCCGCCGTCGTCGTCGTCGTCGTTGCGGCGAAGAATACCTACACACGCACGTCGTAACTGTACAATCGCCGTGATCGTGATCGTAGAGCGTCTTTGGGACATCACGACTGTCGTTCCATTCGTCTTGAATTAACGAGACAGCAGCGCGGAATATTATAA